AAAAAACCAAAAACTAATAACAAACAAAAAGTCAAAACTAAAAAGCAAAAAATAACTATTATTAGTACTGATAGGTTACCCACCCCCTGATAGGTAAGAAGTCGGTGCCATAAGTTCCATGCAAAGTTATTAATTAAGCAGTTTTATTTTATTATTTTATCATTTTCAGTGTAAAGCTACATAATTATACCCGTTTTGTTACTTATAATATACATAGGTGCAAAGTCCTAATCAATACAAATTAATCAAGCCCAAACACAAGGTTGTTACTCTATACTGTTGAGGAATTCCCTTAACAATTACACTTCTTCATCATCAGACCCCTAATGACAGCCACACTCTATCTAGGTGTAAAGTCCTCATCAATACAAATTAATGAAGCCCAAACAAGGTAGTTAATATAAACCGTTGAGGAGTTCCCTCGACTGTCTGTCGTCTCTATCATCAGGTAGACTCCAGACCCTTATCAAATTGTAGTGTTTAAAAATCGTAATTGAAAAACATAATAGACGCATTACTCGCCCATAGAATTTTCGAAAGTTCCCCTCGGTTTCCCTAGGATCCCATCATCAGATCCTGACTTCATGGAAATGGGACCATCTCGGAAGTATACCCTTTCAAACAAAACAAGAATTTTGCAAATCGCTTCACGCATCTCAGAGTTATGCGCGTACATACATACAAAAAAAAAAGCAACATACCGGCCGAACGTACAACCTCCTCCTTTTTTGAAGTCGGTTAAAAATACTAAAATTAAGTTGGTCATAAAATCAATTAATGAAAGTGTGATTATTTTTTAATATCCAGTTGCATTGAACAGTCGAAATAATGTATCTTTGATCAAGGAAAGTCCCGTATGGTTGAGCCGTATCGTTGTTTGCAGGCGAACATCCGCGCCAAGCGGCGCGAGGAGTTCCGCGCGCAGTTGTCGGGCGCGAGCGCGGGCGCGGCGGCGGGCGAGGGCAGCGCGCGCTGGGTGGACGAGCGCGTGTGGGCGCGCGCGCCGGCCCGCGCCCGCCGCCCGCTGCGGTTCCACGAGCCCGGCAAGTTCACGCAGATGGGGGACCGACTGCGGATGAAGGTACCACTCACATTGCAATATTTCTACATCTAGCCCCTATCTATCGCAGCGGGCGGCGCGCCGGCCCGCGCCCGCCGCCCGCTGCGGTTCCACGAGCCCGGCAAGTTCACGCAGATGGGGGACCGACTGCGGATGAAGGTACCACTCACATTGCAATATTTCTACATCTAGCCCCTATCTATCGCAGCGGGCGGCGCGCCGGCCCGCGCCCGCCGCCCGCTGCGGTTCCACGAGCCCGGCAAGTTCACGCAGATGGGGGACCGACTGCGGATGAAGGTACCACTTACATTGCAATATTTCTACATCTAGCCCCTATCTATCGCAGCGGGCGGCGCGCCGGCCCGCGCCCGCCGCCCGCTGCGGTTCCACGAGCCCGGCAAGTTCACGCAGATGGGGGACCGACTGCGGATGAAGGTACCACTTACATTGCAATATTTCTACATCTAGCCCCTATCTATCGCAGCGGGCGGCGCGCCGGCCCGCGCCCGCCGCCCGCTGCGGTTCCACGAGCCCGGCAAGTTCACGCAGATGGGGGACCGACTGCGGATGAAGGTACCACTTACATTGCAATATTTCTACATCTAGCCCCTATCTATCGCAGCGGGCGGCGCGCCGGCCCGCGCCCGCCGCCCGCTGCGGTTCCACGAGCCCGGCAAGTTCACGCAGATGGGGGACCGACTGCGGATGAAGGTACCACTTACATTGCAATATTTCTACATCTAGCCCCTATCTATCGCAGCGGGCGGCGCGCCGGCCCGCGCCCGCCGCCCGCTGCGGTTCCACGAGCCCGGCAAGTTCACGCAGATGGGGGACCGACTGCGGATGAAGGTACCACTCACATTGCAATATTTCTACATCGGGGACCCCTATTCTGACTGTATAACCTTTTTATTTTGATGACGGGGGGAGGGGGAGACCTTGGAAAGACTAGGTTTTTAGGGAGAAAGACTTATGGCCACCCTCAGCACCTATAAGAGGCACCGGGTCTTCTGAAGAAACCAGAATCAGTGTATAACCTGGATAAGTGGATATCTTCAATGCCCGAGTGAATAGGTTGCTTATGGGTCGATGTGCTCCATCGTAGACCGCACCATCGCTTACCACCAGGCGAGATAGTGGTCAAACGTCAGCCCATCAAATATACAAATGACTGCTCCCACCTGGGTGAGGCGGGAGGGAGTGTCAGACTCTTACTGACTAAAAACCACCCCGTTCCTTCTCCTGCCCGTCGAGCCGGAGCCCCGGTTACCCGTTCCAGTATTAAGTATTAATATTTTTTTACAAAATAATTTCCAGGCGCAACTGGAAAAGCTTCAGAACGAGATATCTCAGATAGCTCGCAAGACTGGCATCTCGTCTGCAACCAAACTGGCACTACTGGCGGCCGACACGCCAGACTCCGACAGAGTGCCAGACATTGAGTGGTAAGCACATGTCTACAAGCCAAGTTACTAATTAATTATACTATACTAGTTTTACTTGTTTTCACTCGCTGACCTACTGACTGACTGACTAACTTTCTGACTGTCAACAGACAGACTGATTGACTGACTGCCACACTCACTAACTCATTCACTCATTTTTTTCACTATTATTTTTCATTCTTATCGATAACAATTTTTGCTGAAAATGTGTGTCAATGAGTGTATATATGTCGTTAGACAGGGTATGTGAGTTAGTAGGTGCGTCCATAAATAAGTGTTTACGTGTGAGTGAGTGAGTGATTGAGTAAGTAAGTGATTGACTGAGTGAGTGATGATTGAATGAGTGGTTGAGTGAGCGAGTGAGTGAGTGAGTGACGGAGTGTGTGTGTGTGAGTGAGTGAGTCACTGAATGAGTTAGTAAGTGAGTGAGTGAGTGACTGACTGAGTGAGTGTGTAAGTGAGTGACTGAGTGAATGAGTGAGTGTGTGAGTGAGTGACTGAGTGAGTGAGTGACTGACAATATTATATGTGTCTTTGTGCGGATGTGATTGTGCGTTACATACGTTTTATTTAAATCTTTGCGATTTTTTTATCCTTTCATAATTGAATAAGAGTCTCCAACAAGGAATACACTTAGCACACACATAATATTACAATAAAATAAAAAATAAAACTAAAAACTATGTGCTTCCTAAACTGTAGGACGTCATATAATTATAAATATCTTAAAAAACTACATACAACTTAAGGACTGCCTCGTTGGCCGAGTGCGACTGCTGCGCAAGGGGTCTCGGGTGCGGTTCCCGGGTTGGGCAAAGTATTAAAACCAAAAAAAGTTAACACTAAATATGTAGACAGAACTATAATAAAAAACAATAGAGAAAATTGACAAAAAAACGGCACACGTCAAATAAAACATAATCAGACATTTAAACAAAATATTTTCCAGGTGGGACAGTGTGATCCTGATGACGCCAGAAGAGCGTCAGAATCAGAACAAGCGTTCAGACGCGTCAGACGAGTCAGACGACAGAACGCACTCGCAGAGGGTGGACGCGTGCCACGTCGGTGGAGATGATATAGTCGACAATCTCAACGAGCTGGCAATCACCAACCTTGTCGAACATCCGCAACAACTGCGGCCGCCAAGTAAGTCAAGATTTTGTTTTAATAATAATAATCTTTGAAATACTATGTTAACTAACTTCTGCCAGCGGCTTCGCCCGCGTTTCAGTGGCACAAGGTTGTTAATATAAACAGCTGAGGAGTTCTCTCGACTGTCTGTCGACTCCAGACCCTTATCAAATTGTAGTATTTAAAATTCCTAATTGAAAAACATAATAGACGCATTACTCGCCCCTATAATTTTCGAAAGTTCGCCTCAGTTTCCCTAGGATCCCATCATCAGATCCTGACCTCATGGAAATGGGACCATCTCGGGAGTATACCCTTTCAAACAAGACAACAATTTTGGAAATCGCTTCATGAATATCGGAGTACTGCGCGAACAAAAAAAAAAAAACAATCATCCGAACATAGTACCTCCTCCTTTTTTTGAAGCCGGTTATAAGTAACCTATGTGTTAATCCAAACAATAATCTACCCCTGCTAACAAATTTTACCCCGATCCCTTCAGCCGTTTTGAGGTTAGGAACGGGGTGGTTTTTAGTCAGTAAGAATCTGACACTCCCTCCCGCCTCACTCAGGCGGGAGCAGTGATTCGATGATATTCCACCGTTAAAAAAAATTACGTAGCTGAAAACGAAAATTTTAGGTTACAATATAGACCTTAGTACTCGCGTACATAGATCTAGTTTCAAAAATACAAGCAATAAATATTTATGAACAAAGATAAAAATTATCCCTATCGAATGATCTTCTAAATAATATGATTGTAGCTACTTGTATAGCGGCCAGCCGGCACCTAAGCAAACGCGTGTAACGAAACCATAGCGCGATTTAACTCGATCCCAATGCCATCTATCGAGCGACGAGACAACTTTACTATGTAAGAGCGCCATCTCTATGCCATGCTTCGAAACTATGTGACGCCATTGTCCTTCCCTGTGCTAGCAACCGTACAGGGTGTTTTGTTATTAGAAAATACGGATGATGACATACATACATACATAACTTCACGCCTGTCTCCCATGGGGGTAGGCAGAGACTAAGGAACGCCAATGACAGGGTATGAAAATTGAAAATCTAATTAGTCCGTCAGTTAGGTAACGAAAAAATATTAGACCAGTGTATTTTTTTACTTTGTCATACAAGAAAACAATATTTACATAAAACGAATCAAAGTTTAGGAGTGGGAGCTAGCTACGTCATTTTAGAGTATAAATCGTACTCAAAAGTGACGTCATGCGACATTTCAAATCAATATATCGTCGAAAGTATTTGTTTCTGTAAGAAAACAAAAAATACGTGTGTAATGTTTTGAAATAATCTACCAGACGGACATTAAAATATAAATTTGTCATCTACCGTATTATCTTGTATGAGGTCATAAGCAGACATCTTCAACCGATTGAGCTGAAATTTTGTATACACGTTTAGTTTGCACCAGTGACCATAAACAAGCTTATTTTAAAAAGTAATTTTAAAAAACTAACTGCGGTTCGGTTTCGCCCGCTCTGCTCGTCACCTATTAATCTTCGCGTGATGTTTTATAGCCTGTAAGCCTTCCTCGCCGAATGGACTATTGGCTAGTTTCCTAGGTATAAAATAAATTGTTTCAATTTTTCAATGCAATAAATAATTAAAAAATAATAATCATACTCATTGATTTGAAAATTTACCTACTTTTGGATTTTTTTCTCGCTAATTTTAAGGAAATAAGTATGCTATTTGACGCAGAAATATGATGACGTCATAAGTTGCGATCCAATACAAAATTCATAGAAAAGTACCTGTCAACTACCGTATTGTTTAAATACTCAGACACCACGCATTTTAGAGTCGCGCTTTTTTTTATAGCATAAGCCAGTAAAAGAGCAGACGGATCACCTGATGGTAAGCAATCGGCGTCGCCCATAGACACCTGGAACACCTGAGGCGTTACAAGTGTGTTACCGGCCTTTTGGGGATTCAGGATAAATGAAACAATTGTTGGCACTATCAGCAGAGAATTGGAGCCGCTGAGGTTGGAAATGCAGGGAATGCGCGACTCAATGTCCTTCATGAATGAAAAATTCGAGGAAATAAGGAAGAAACAGGAAATCTCAAATGAGCGTATTATGAATTTGGAAGCGGAAAATGCGGAACTGAAGGCAGCAATGGGTGGCATGAGCGAGAGATTTGTCAACTTGGAACAGCAGTCCCGTTCAAATAATTTAGAAGTGCAATGTGTACCTGAAAATAAAAATGAAAACGTATACAAAATAATAACACAACTGGCACGTGTAGTCAAATGCGAAATTAGTGATAAGGACATCCCTCACTGCACACGTGTTGCTAAGTCCAATTCTTCCAGTACTCGTCCCCGCTCAATCATTGTTCAGCTGGCATCACCAAAGCTGCGTGATCAACTACTTGCTGCAACTATACATTTTAATAAGTCAAACCCACAAGAAAAGCTAAATAGTAGCCATCTTGGATATGCTGGACCTAAATCTCCGGTATATGTTGCAGAGCACCTGTCACCAACTAACAGAGCCCTGCACGCAGCTACTAGGATTAAAGCAAAAGAAATGAACTACAAATATGTGTGGGTTAGAAATGGCAGAATATTTGTGAGGAAAAACGAGGGCACCGAACATATTCAGATTAGGAACAATAGTAATCTAAGTAGAATGGTATAACATAGGATGATTTATGTTTTTGTTACATTTTAGTGCAAGTAATGATCAAATACTTATAGAATTCAATGATATTTTAATTTATTATCAAAATTGTAGAGGTTTGCGAACGAAAACAAAATCTTTTTATTGTAATTTGTGTTGTCAGAACTATGATATAGTAATATTAACGGAAACCTGGTTAAATAGCAGTGTACTGAGTGGTGAGTTGTTTGATGGGCGATATGAAGTATACAGGAGAGATAGGGAGACGGCGGGATTTACAGGTAACAAGGATGGTGGTGGAGTATTGATAGCGGTGAATAAACAGATTAACTCGTCACGTATAGTACACTGGGAAAGTAAGTGTGAAGATCTCTGGGTCACTGTTGATATATCGCTCTCTCAAAAACCTGTTAAAATGGCCCTTTGTGCAATTTACCTACCTCCGCCTGTGAGTCCGGCAACCCTCGAGCATTTTGTCGAACACTGCAACAAGTTTATAGACTCAACAAGTATTCCTACTTGCATTGTCGGTGACTTTAATCAGGGTAAAATCAATTGGGATTTAAAGACTATTAATGATTCTCTGCCTAAAACTAGCCAAATTTTGGTGGATTTTGTAAATATGAGTCACCTGGTACAATGTAATCACGTAAAAAATTATTCTGGGCGCGCATTGGATCTGGTGTTGTCTTCGGTGTCTAACTGTTCGGTGAGGGAATCGAGTTCCTCTCTGACGGTCATCGATAGACTCCATCCACCCCTTCATATAACCCTTTCATCGGTTAATAATCGTTGTCTGCCGTATAATAACTCCATTCCTAGACCGAATTTCTATAAAGCAAACTATAAAGATATTAATGGTTATCTTAATGATCAAGACTGGCGTGTTCTATTTAACAATTGTAATCATGTAAATGACATGGTAACTATTTTTTACGAACATTTGTATGAAGTAATTAAAAAATTTGTACCAGTAAGAAAACAAAATAATAGTCGTTACCCACCATGGTTCAACAAAATAATGATAAAATCGTTGAAGGAAAAGAATAGGTTGAGGCTACGCTTTAAAAAGTATAAAAATCCTATGGATAAAATCGAATTGAATTTAATCTCTAAGCGTTGTGCAAAATTAGCCAGGACCTTGTATAATGATTACCTTAGAAATTTGGAACAAGGTATAAGAAGTAATCCTAAACTTTTTTGGAGTTATATAAAAGCTAAACGAGGTGGATCAAGTGCTTACCCACAGACCATGACTGACGGACAGAATGTAACCTCTAATGTTTCTGAAATCTGCAACCTTTTTGCCAAATACTTCTCGTCCGTATACACATCTGACAGTGGGGAGGAGGTGGATTGCCAGACAGAGTACTTACAGACTCTGAATAGCAACGGTCAATGTTTGAGCGCCCTAGTAATTGACCATGACTGTCTGCTTAATAAACTAAAAACAATTGATATCACCAAGGGGCCGGGGCCTGATGATATCCCACCAATATTTATTTCTTCCTGTGCAGCGGCACTGGTTTCTCCTCTGATAATAATTTTTAATGCATCGTTAGCATCAGGTACTTTTCCTTCGGAATGGAAAAAAGCAAGGGTTGTCCCAGTGCACAAATCTGATAGTAAAAACACTATCTCAAACTACAGGCCCATTTCAATACTTTCAGGTTTTGCAAAGATTTTTGAATCTATTATATGCCCGTATCTTCAGCGTCATTTTGAAATATACCTCAGCGACCATCAGCATGGTTTTGTAACGGCAAGATCTACTGCAACGAACTTAGTAAGTTTTACGGAGTCAGTAGTTCAGGCAGTAGATAAAAACAAGCAATTTGACGTAATATATACGGACTTCAGTAAGGCGTTTGACAAAATGTCTCATACCATACTAATATATAAACTTTCAGCTTACGGTATATCGGGGCCCTTGTTGCAATGGTTTGAATCATACCTGACGAGGCGCAATTTTTGCGTCGTTGTTAATGGATTTAAATCTTCTGAGCAAATTATAACTTCAGGCGCTCCTCAGGGTACACATGTAGCTCCAACTCTATTCAATATATTTGTTAACGATCTGCCCCAGTGTTTTCAATACTCAGAGCCTTTTCTTTATGCTGATGATTTGAAATTTGCACGAATGATTGAAACCCCAAACGATAACGAGCTTCTGCAGAAAGATCTTAACAGTGTAATTGAGTGGTGTAAAAATAACAGAATGCAACTAAATCCTGACAAATGTTACCATGTTAAATTTACAAGGAAAAATAACTACATGGGCACTGAATACTATATTGATCAGGTTAAAGTGCGAGAACGCGAAACTATTCGGGACTTAGGTGTGCTTTTTGATAGGAAGGTAAC